ATATGCTTAAGTACAGAGGTAAGACTGCATACATCTGATCCTCCTAATCTCACTTTAGGTGAGAGCCTTTGCAGCATGGAATAATGATATTGATGACACCATCGAATTGAAACGATGCACATTATGGTTTATGGCGATGCACATTTATGGACTATGACTATGATCATGCAAACTTCGAATGTGCAGAAAAAGTTAAATTTATTTACGAAAGTATCATTGTAGTTCTGATTCACGATAATTGATATCTTTATTTCACATAATGTACAAATCTCAAATCTAACAATTCTGATTTACTCTCATTTCTCTCCTTAGATATTGTTCTCGTTTGATTCAAATTCTCTACATAGCTAAAAATCTATAAGCATCGCTCACAAAGAATTCTGCTGTAAATAACGAGCAAAACCTAAAAGGGCAGCTTTTGTTAATAAACCAATAAATATAATTTGATTAGCAATGATGATGACCAAAGGTATAAACAGACAAATGACTACAAGATCTTCAAATTGCTTATGGTTTTTTTAGCACGTTGAAACTGGTTAATGAAATAACAAGCGGAGGCCAGCCTCTAAATCCTCCAAGGTAATGGTGAGTAACTGGTCTGTATCTACACAGTCAAAGCTGAGTCTAAAATCCAAATTCTCTCTGGCATTAACTAGCATAGGATCGAGTAAGCCTCCGTTCATGCCCTTGCGCTGCTTCTCTGTTGTGTCCCTCTCTATCAGACCTGCAACAGCTTCAACACTGCATGAAGGATGCAACTTGAACCCAAACAACAAACTCCCCCCTCCGACTTGCTGATTGGTGCTACTCATTTTGAGATGGAGAATCTTGGCAAGATCTTCAGTGGTGAAGTCATTGAAGTGGAAGTACTTGGTCACTCTCCGACAAAAACCCTCGTTAGAGGATATCACACGTTTCATTGGTTCACTGTATCCAGCAAAAATTACTACAACTTTCCCGCTATCCATGACAGACATTATCTCTTCGAGTGCTTCTAAACCATAGTCTTTATCGTCAGCTTTTTGCATAGGTATTAGTCGGTAGGCTTCATCAACGAACAGAACTCCACCCTCGGCTTCTTGGATCTACAGATATATGCCAACTGGACTTGTTGGTCAAAATGCCTCAAAAGTATTCATTTGTTTAGAATGAAAAAGCTTACCTTTCTCCTCGTCTTTGGTCCCGTATGACCAACAAATTCTCCAACCAGATCTGTTCTCTGCACTTCAGTTACCTTATCTGTCGGAAGAATCCCCACCATATGAAGCAGTTTTCCAAGCACTCGAGCAACCATTGTTTTTCCTGATGAGTAATAGTAGAGAAAAAAACTAAGGAATTCAATTGGAAGAACCTCTAAACTCACAAAAAACATTAGCACTACCACAAAACATACAACATCGAACGTGTTTCATTCAAAGAAGCACAAGCATGCTTATGGAGTTCATAGTTGGACCGAAAGGTAGGGTTATGTTTCCATCCTGGAAAATGTTAGGGAAAGGGGGGATACTACGAAAAGTCGCTTGCCTGTGTTTAGTTTTGCAAAGAGAAATCTGATGTGATTGTTGCTTAAAATGTGTTTAGATTTCTGGGAATTAGAATAAATGAAATACATAAATAAAATGAGTTTGGACTTTGGAGAAATATATATAAAAAAGAGTTCCACAAATGTTTAATTTCTACAAAATTTTCTTTCCTTCACGGAGAAGTGCCGCTCCGTATTTTCTTTTCCTAACATTTTTTAGTCCCTAACAGACCCTTTAAACTCTAACTGGTCAAATAACCTGTTCCAGGGTTTCCAAGGAAAGCCATGTGAGGTGGTCTTCTGGCACCAACTTTCAGTCCAAGTACCCGACGCCTCTCATCCAGTAGCATCCCCTTTGCCCATTTTCGAAGTTGGAGTTTTAGCTCGTTTAGGCCAACTATTCTTGATAGTTCCTTTTCGAGAGCGTCCATTTTTTCCTTGGACTCACAGCAAGCTTCAATGGCCTTACGTTTTTGCTGCTCCTCCAGATGCCAATGAAGCAATTCTCGCAATTTTTCATATGTGGGTCCTTGGGAGAGATGATTTATGGGAGTCATGCCCTCCTGCAGCAATGCATAGGTTACATGATCAACATCGACCAGATAAGAACAATGAGAAGGTTTAATGTTTAAATAAATTACAGCATGTATACATTGTCTTCAGCACTACAGTCAGCATTATACTTTAACAATGTTGTGACTGTTGAGTAGTCTCCAGCTCGAATTGAGTGCCAAACAGCAAGGTGCAATGGGGTCATCCCGTTCTGCATAAACATAAAAAAGGAAGAGCATAAATTTTTTATTTTCTTTTACTTTGTGGTTGCCACCTAAAAAGAAGACCTCTTTGTGGAATAAGGAGGTAAAATAAGCCATAAAGAACAAAAAAGAGAGCTACTAAAATTTTGGGAAAAGTTGGAGTGATGAGAATACAGAGACTCCAAAGAGGCTAAAACAAAAGCTAAGAGAGCTATGAAGAAGCAAGATGAAAAGTGAAGAAGGAATTGTATCGAAAATCAGATTCTATAAAAGGATTTTTTTACATTTCATTAAATGTTCTTTTATTGAGCCGCAAAGCCTGTGTCACAAATTGTCGTAGATGCGTACAATATTGTGGAAATAGCCGAATGGTTAAGAAAATCTGTCATCCTCCTCTAGGTCCCAGTCGACACTTCCATCACTATTTTCCTCACACAAAAACATTCCAGGAGAGTGCACTGACCAAATTCTTCTCCATATTGGAGAATCAGTTATCTTTGGAACCATGTTAGAGTCTCTAGAATATCTTGCTTTGACAAAATCAGTTCATAAGGAATTATAATTCTTCCATTTCAACCATAGTTTTAGTGAAAAGGTCTTTTCTGTATCAGCTAGAGACCTGATTCCCAATCCTCCTTCATCCACAGGTCTACCAATCCTCCTTCATCCACAAATCTACAAAGTTGAGACCGTTTCATCCAGTGATACTTCTCTTTATTATTTGATTATTTTGATGAACTTCAAAAGAATGATGCCATCTTTCTTTCTAGAATATTAATTATTTTCTTTCTAGAATAACACTTAACACATGCTTAATTAACATCCTTTCCATTGAATGTATACGAGCACCCACAAACTTCCCACAGTGGAAAGAGGTTTTGCCCAGAGGCATTTTGGTAAGCCTCTAAAAACTAATTAAAATTTTTCAATCATCTGAAATCCCCATTAAAAAAAATTAAAAGATCATCAGCATAGCCCAGATGTGACTAAGGAAAACCTTGGCTCCCTATCCAGAAAGGTTTAATAGCACGCCTCTGCATATTCCATTTGAGACCCCCAGAAAAAACTTCAGAGGCTAGAATGAATAAATAAGGAGACAAAGGATCTCCCTGTTTAACTCCCCTTTTAGGCTTAAAGAAACCAGTAGGAACCTCATTCACTAAGATTGAGAGAATTGTGGCTTGCAAGGTATTAAGTACAAGCTTATAAAACAGTCAGAGAAACCAAACTTGTATAAGACCTAACCTGTATCAAAAGCTTTAGTCATGTCTAGCTTAATCATGACATTATTACCTCTAAGTTTTTATCAATTGAGTGAACCATCTCTTCAGCAATGAGAATGTTATCATCCATATCTCTATTTTGCATGAAACCAGCTTGTTCAGCAAAAATAACTTTATGGATAATCTTACTCAATCTGAATGCCAACACCTTTGGAATTAGGACAGCCAGACTGCTAGAAATACCTGGAGGTATAGTCTAACCCTGGAAAAATTCTTGAACAGCCCTCAGTAGATCAACACCCACAATATTCCAACATTTTTTGAAAACTTTACCATTAAATCCATCATTAAATCCATCTGGTCCAGGAGCTCCAGTTGAGGAAGCTTCATGAGGTTAAAATCATCACCTGATGAGACTAATTTTGGAATAAATTCCAGGACCTTCTCAAATGAATCAGCCTGATGATCAACTGCATACAGGGATGAGAAAAAAGACACAGCAGCCTCCCCAATGTGAGATAAAGAGGTGACTGTCTGGCCACTAGAATTAATAATAGTAGAGATAGCTTGTTTCTTTTGTCTGATTTTACCAAAAGAATGGAAGAATTTTGAGTTTGCATCTCCCCCCTTTAGCCAATTAACATGTGCCTTCTGCTTCCAGTACTTTCTTTCTAAACGATGTTTAGATATGAGCAAAGCTCTCAGTTGCTGCCATGCCATTGATCTCTGTGAGCTTCAGTAGGATCATTCTCAAATAATTTTTCAGCTTGAATCACCCTTTCCTCACATGATTTGATCTCATCAAATATATTTCCAAAGACATCCTTATTCCACATCTTAAGATGCTTTTTAAGACACTGTAGCTTATAGACTAGACTTCTCGTACCCCACATGTAGAACTAGCTCCCCAACAATTCTTAACAGTATCCTTAAAAGAATGATGAGATAGCCACATATTTTAAAATTTATAGACTTACTCGTCTTCGAGATAGTAGGACTCAAGATGTCAGAAAAGTGAAGGATGGGAAACTAATAGAGAGGTGGAGGTCTTAATATGATAATTTGCTTAATGAGAATAAATCGCAACATATTAGTGATCTTACTATACCAAATTATATGGTAAAAAGAAAGTGGTGGATCTATATGGCATATCGGGGGATTGAGGCCAGGAGAAATATGGGAGATGCATCGAGTGGTTAAAACTTTTTTCAAACAACATTTGGAGAAAGAACAAAATGAGCAAAAGAGTACTGTTATCCCCCTTATTTAAGAATAAGGGGTGATGCACAAAAAGCGTACCAACTATTAAGATTAAACTTATGAGACACCATGAAATTTTGAGAACGAGTGATTGAGCAAAGACTTTGAAGAAGTTTGAAAATTTCAGAGAATTAATTTAATTTTAAGCTAGGCGCTCAACAACTAGGGCTATTCACCTTCTTAGGCAAACCGTGGACAAGTACAGTACAAAAATAATAACTACGCTTTGCATTTGGTGTCCGAACTGCTGGACAGGAGCATTTCTCTCTATAGAGAGAGAGAGAGAGAGTGGCGTTCCTGTCCAGCCGGCCTGACGGGGACCGCCGTCCGGATGAGGCTGTTTTGGACCCTTCCCGGTGGAATTTTTTGATGAAACTTTTTGAGCATGTTGTTCATCAAGTGTAGTTTACTCATACCAAAGTTCAGATAAAAATTCAATCTGAATGGCAGTCAAATAATTTTTTGAACATAACTGTGTTATATATATATATATATATATATATGCCTTCCCGATTGGATTTTTAGCTGAAATTTGGTAAAGATAAACTACACTTGATGAAAAACATGCTCAAATAAATTCATCAAAAAATCCACCAGGAAGGCCCCGAAATTCCCTCGGCCGGACGGCGGTTCACGTCAGGCCGACTGGACAGAAACGCCACTCTATATATATATATGATACTCCCTCTGTCCCTTAAACCTTTGCCCAATTATATATTTTTATAGAAAGTTATTTATAATAATTTCCATTATTTGCAATGGAGCCAAAGATTCATTATTTTTTGGCTTGAGATTATGATGGAATAAAGCAAAATGGCTCACTAAACTGTCTGCGCTTCTTTGTTATGAAGTAGCTGTCAGTCCATGCAATTTTGGACGGGATTTTCACTATGGGTCATCCGGAAACAGTCTCTCTATGCTTTAGTACAGGGGTAAGACTGCGTACATCCGACCCCCCCCCTTACCCCACCATAGGTGGGAGCCTTTGAGGCACTGGGGTAAATGAAAATGATGATGATGATGATGAAAGTTATTTATAATATAAAAATGATATGAAAATAATCTTTGTTAAAAGTATTTTCATAAAAGTATAAAATTCATAACTTTCCAAATATTATACTAATCAAAATCGTGGTCTAAACTTTACCACCATTGACTTGAACAATCAAAGATGGCAAAGTTTTAAAGGATGGGGTTAGTATTATATATATATATATATATATATATATATATATATATATATACACACATATATATAGACACATAGGTTTTGGTTCAAATAAGAACATGATCTTAGGAGAGAAATGAGAATGAATCTGAACCGTTAGATTTGCTTCAAGTGAAATTCAGTGTGCATTAGATGAAACTGTAATGTACAATAGGTGAAATTGAAATGTGCAGCACAAAAGATACGATACAGTGACATTATGTGAAGCTGAATTTTGCCTCAGGTGAAATTGAAATGTGCACTGGTTGAAACTGAAATGTGTAGAATAAAAGGTCTGATGTGATGATATTTTTGTACCTTTTATTCCGCACATTTCAGTTTCACCTACTACACACATGAGTTTACATTTTTATTCTGCACATTTCAATATCATCTAATGCACATTTTAATTTCACCAAATGCACAATTCAATCCCACATAATACAATCTAAAGGTCCAGATTCATTCTCATTTCTCTCATGGGAGTCCTTTCTCACTGGAATCGCTCCCTATACATATATATATAGATGCACACACATACATACAATTCAATTCTATGTAAACACTGAATAACTATTAATACTAATAATTAATACTACCTCCGTTCTTAAATAAATGCAACACTTTGACTTTTACACTATTCACATGTTCTACTTTGACTGCGTTTTATTTATTAATGTAATAATATTATTTTATGAAAAAAATATTGTTAAACTTGTCTCATTGTAAATTTTCATAATCTAATTTTTTAAATTTTTTTACTAATACAAAATCATTTATATTAATGGTCAAAGTTGTGTCTCGGCAAGTGTGAAATGTTGACCGTTGCATTTATTTAAGAACGGAGGAAGTAATAATAATAATAATAACATAATGTCAATACTCAAAGCAATAATATAAACCACTTAACAGAACAAGTTCAAAGATAAATTGCAAAACATTTGAAGGGTTCAATTTTCAAAAAGGATAAACCAATTGCCATGAGCCCTAGACTTATTATTGCTAGTACAACTCAAAACAACTCAACAACTAAACATACTAAAGAAGCGGACGATTTTTAAAAAAGAAAACAACTAAAGTGGATGAAGCGGACAACACATAGAATAGAGCGAGAACAACGAAGAGATGAAGAAAATGACTAGGAACAATGATTTAAAGTCGACGAATCAGGGAAGCTTAACGTTGCAAGTGGCGCTTGGGCTTCCTTCACCATCAGTCATTGATGTTTAATTGTTTTTAAAACTCGTTGTTCAAGACTTCAGTCCGCCCTTTGTATCCCGTTCTTTGAGCTGAAAAATCGCAGCTCGATTAGATCGACGATTCGTATGATTTATGTTTCAACTCGTTGATCCGGTGATCCCAGGGCATTTTTCTAATCCTAGCAGCGATCCAACTAGACCCTCCCTTTTCTGATCGTAAAATCGTACGATTCAGTGAGTTAGATCTTGATCTTAACAACCGTGGGGAGAGCAAGAGTTTCAGGTTAAGTTGAACCAACACTAAGTATATGGAGTGCAAGTTTAGTAGGGGTAGAACACTCAGTATATGGGATTACCTTTGATGGTGAGGAAATTTCAGTCAGTGGTATATTCAGTTTCCTAGGCTCAATAGTTCAAAGAACACTGAATTAGATAAAGATATATCTCATAGAATCCAAACGGGGTGAACGAAATAGAAGAGTGTGCCAGGATTTCTTTGTGATCGAGATATGCCAACAAAACTAAAGAGTAGGTTTCTATGTGATCGAACAACAATTAAGCTTGCATTATTGTATGGTGTAGAGTGATAGGCATTGGTGCACATGTTGCACTGGATGTGTGAACATACTAGAAAAGATCACTTGATGAATGAGACAATAAGATGAAAAGTGGGAGTGCCCCTATTAAAGATAAGACGTGAGAGTCTCATTTGAAATGATTTGACCATGTGAGTAGAAGACCAAGTGATGCACATGTTAAATGAATGGAGGGTGGGGAGAGGAGACATGAAGGGGAGGGAGGGGACGACCTAAACAAACAAGGATTAGATTAGTCAAGAATAATGATATGGTACTTCTCGGGTTAGATGAGAGTATCACTTTGAAGATAGAAAAATGGATGGAGAATATACATGTGGATGATGGATCAGATTTTATTTGTCCCCTTTTTTCTATTTATTACGTAGTATTTTAAGTCCAATGCTATGTGTAGATTCATGTTAGGTGAGCCCAAACCATTTTGGGATCAAGACTTGAATGTTATTGTTGTTGTTATGCTTGGACTCACTTTAAAAGTTTTACGAGAAAAGTTATAACTGAAAAGGCAACAAGGAAAAGAGACGCACATTTGCCCTGGCTTCAACAAAAGCACCATGAGAGAGAAGCATCTTAGCAGTTTCATTACATCCATTCTTAGCAGCCATGTGTAACGGGGTCTCCCCATACTGCCACAAACAAACAAGAGAGAGTAAGGCTGCAATGTGTGATGAGTTGAGTAGTAGAGTTGGTTGAAATGAAAAGAAAAATAGTTTTTAAATCGCATAGTGCACGTTTACCATGTTCTTTGCTTCTAACTCTACTCTTTCAGGGCCTTGGAATGAAAGCAAATGTTCAACAATATCAGCCTTATTGTAACCAGATGAAATATGAAGTGGTGTTTGTGCCATCTGCATCCCCATATAAAGAGACATATCAAGGAACATTATACATTAGAGAGAGAACCTCCAGCATCATGTATTCATATTATATGCAATGACAAAAAATAGCTGTGCATTTTGTGTTAAATCGCCATAGTGGATCAACACACACCTAAAGGGGGTTTTCATCCATGCATTCTAAGAGAGTACATTAGACCTGTTGGACTTTACGTCATTGTGGCTGGTAGCATATAAGAGAGTAAATTAAATATGAAGAACGGATTAGCAAAACAAGCATTTCTATTAAGATATTGCTAATGGCATTTTCTGAATTCCAAAAACTGGTCCATCTATTTGTTTCAAGTATTTTGGTGGTGTTTGAATTCCTAATTTTTGGCTCAAAATAAGATGGCGCATGCACTGAAATCATCAAACATTACAGTTTTCCCGATTCTGTGAAATCAGTATCTTCTTGGACTTATTTTGTTCAAATAACTATTCTAGAAGCGGCTGAAGGCGCTTGTGAGCTGCCAACCAGTAAAGGTAGGTATTTGAAGGATGTAACGCAAGAAATTGTACATGTTCCATCAAGTTGAAGACTCTTATGTAATAAACAAACATAACGGTCCAAATTATATCTTTTTGTGATCAATCTCTATGCAAGTAGATGAAATCTTATGGACTCCACAAAAACTAATCGATATTACTATTACTGGTTATCAGTAGTTATTTCACAATCACAATCACATAAAATCCGTGTTTAACAATTTAATATCTGTCTTCCGTTTCCCAAACAACATTTCTTTGCAACGCAGAGATAACAAATTCAGATCATCAGCAGAACACATATAAAAGGCCCAAATGAAGGATAAAGGAGGAGGAATTCTCGCAACACAACTAAGCACACATGACAAATGACATTCTGTACTCTAAGCATATTGGAGACAAGTAAGTCAAACAGATCTTACTTACTACGGGGTTACGTTCATTGAGGAGAGAAGGGTTATCGTTAAGCATCTTCCGGATGGCATTGAGATCTCCCGATTGAGCAAACCCATGGATCGTTGTAGGTCTAAAGAATCTTGGCCTTTGATCCCCAACCCTCTGCATTTTCTTCTCCCCCGATGTAAAAATTAACAAAAGGAGAGAAATGGAACAAGCTTTGCCGACAGAGGTTTAGGAGGCGTTCCCGGGGGCTACGGTGGAATTGGGTATTCTCAGAGAAAACTCGTCAAACAAGTCATGGGTGGTCAGGTGGAAAACGAAAGAAAAGAAATGGAAGCCGGTGGGAGTGGGAGATTTCTTCGGGAGCCCAGCTTGCTCCTTGGACGCTTTGGCTGGCGGACATTTCCTTGCCAGCTTATGAGCTTTGGTTTTTCTTTCTTTTTGTGTCAAACTTATTCACGGCATACGAAGTTCATGACAGGTGGCCCCACAAAACATATAATCAGGGCAAATTATATCGTGGATTGGACTCGTGTGCGCAAGGTGTGTCGATCCCAAACGGGCATCGCTTTAGTGATTAAAGACAATGATAAATTGATCGCAGCCGCTACGGGACCCATCTCTGATCATCGACGGACGACACTACAAGTAAGTTTTCTTCTTATTTCTCCTCCTCCTTTTCCTCCATGTCATCCAGGAAGATTTATGCATAATCATTTTAAAATTGAAAGCAAATTCTTTTGATTTGATTTAGTATTATTCCAATTCAGATTAATCTGAATTTTTCCATTCTCCTGGATGTTGATTTCACAAGTTACATCTCCTTGTTCCCAAGTTACATTTGAATAGGCTAAAGTTACATTCACAAATTAGATCTGACTTGTTTCCAAATTACATTTGAATCAAAACAGATTACATTTCAACGAGTTACATTTGAATGAGTGTAATTTATATCTTGATAAACTTGAAGTTACATGTGAATTAATATGATTTACATTACATATAACCTTGGGAGCAGGATGCTCACCCTGCACCGCTCCCACAGTATAGCAACTGAATAATTAGACAAATTCTCAATCATGTGATGCACTACATAGATTAAAGAAGAGAAATGCTCCTGTGAAGACCGTCATTTGGAGTGGTTCCCGGTGGATTTTTTTTATGAAATTTTGTAATCATGTTCCTCATGATTTCTGGTTTATTGATAAAACATTTCAGCTCAAAATTCAAACGGGAAGGCAGTCAAATAATTTTTTGAAGTAATAACAATTATTATTGGACATGGCAGAAACTATCTAGGTAAAAGTTGTTTCTTTTGCAGATCCTAATTGGATGAAGGAGGTAGTTGATTACCTCAAGGACGGAACCCTCCCCTTGGACCCACATGGCCGACCAGCTGGGAGGGCCGCCTGGATCAAAAGACAAGCCCCGAGTTTCGAGCTCATTGATGAGCAATTATACAAGAAGACGTTTGGCGGGCCATACCTCAGATGTCTACCGGCGAATTTACCTGCTGCAAATATGGAGGAAATCCACGAGGGCATTTGCTCGAGCCATCAGGGGCCTCGGACGCTAGCAGGGAAAATCATTCTACAGGGGTACTACTGGTCGACCATCCAACGAGATTGCTTCAACGACACCCAGAAGTGTGTGGTATGCCACCAGTACGCCCCGATGCCAGGACGGTCAGCTAGCTTATATACCCCGATGACCATCGCACTACCTTTTTGTGAGGTGGGAGATAGATTTGCTAGGACCACTACCCAAGACGACCAGCGGGAAGAAGTTTATAATCGTGGCCATCGACTATTTCACAAAGTGGGTGGAGGCCGAACCTCCGGCAACGATTACAGAACATTAGTGTCAGCGCTTTGTCTGGTAGAACATCTTATGCCGTTTCAGAATCCCATAGCAGATCATCACTGATAACGATCGGTAGTTCGTCAGGAAATGGTTCGAAGCATATCTGGCCAAATGGGGGATCAGACATTCCAAGGCCTCAGTGGCCTACCACCAGTCCAATGGCCAGGTGGAGAAAATGAACTGTACCATTATGGATGGTATCAAGAAGAAATTGGAAGACTACACCACTACCTGGCCAGAGTAGCTGAACTATGTCCTGTGGACTTACAAAACGTCTCCGAGGACAGCTACCGGGGAGATTCCTTTCGCATTGGCGTACGGTTTTCAGGCCAAAGTCCCTACGGAAGTGCTCGTACCAACACTCCGCACGATGCACTTCCAACCAGAGAGCAATGAGGACATGCTACGTGCGGAACTTCACTTCATTGAGGAATGAAGGAACCTCGCCGCACGTCGGATGGAAGAATACCACTGGGCCACCTAGAGATATTTTAACAAGGCGGTGAGGATCATAGAGATAGAGGTCGGGGACCTAGTTCTACGCAAACGGGAAAAGAGAAAGCCGCTCGAAGGCGGCAAGATGACCAAGAATTGGGAAGGCCCATACTGGGTTTTCAGAAAATATGCGCATGGGACGTTCTTCCTCCACACCATGGAGGGGCATATTGTTGGCATGAGGAACGTAGAACATTTGAAGAAATTCTGTCAATAAGATCATTGGCCTCGCGCAGCACAGTCTCAAGGGCCAAAGCTGCGAAGCACAAGCCCAATGGAAGTGAAGAGGGCTGACGAAAAGGTGGTTGAACAAAGTCAGAAGATCCGTTCGTCTCCGGAAAAAAGGGAAGACGAATGAAGGAAGTGTCGGTATAAACAGAGTACACAGGGGAAAATGAATGAACCCTTTATTATTCGGCTCTACCGGCCGGTGGGATACATGAAAATCAAGAAAATATAGGGAATTTTATCCCTCGGTTCTGCTGACCGAAAAGGTACATTGAATGTATCAAGATACAAGTTCAAAGGAAATATCAGGATTGGTCGTTGCTCGGAGGCACATCCTCCCCCCTGCTTCTCTTTCTCCTGTTTCTCCATCTCCTGCTTTTCCTGGAGATACTTCAGGGGCCCCTCATGAGCCTCGACGAAAGAAGCATTGAATCCAGCGGCTGCAGGATCAAAGGGGGCAGGAAAATGACACTCGAAAAGCTGGGAGGTTAGCCGCCACGAGGCCGATCATCCCCTTGGCATAGGTGTCATCGGCCAGATCAGCAAGGAAGCCCTCACCAGTAGGGTTTTCTAAAGCAGTTCAATTCTGGCCTCTAAAGCATTGGGGCTCGTCGCCAGATACTCCCTGAGATACTTGGCCAAGTAGCGCTTTGCAACGACATGCAGTGCGGCATTGTAGGCTATGGACGGCTGAAACTCAATAGAGCCAGCCTCCTTGATCTTCGAGACATCCGCCTCATAAACAGGGATGGTCCCCTCGGCATCAGTCCGGCGCAACTGTACCTTGGCTCTCTCTGCAGCCTCCAGCTTTGCACGGAGCGTCTACAGCTCCTCGGCCTGCTTGCGAATGACCTCCTTCTGGGAGGCACTCTCCTAGGCAAGCTTGCCCGCAACATCGGCCTTCTCCTGCATCTTGTGAATACGACCTCTGGCCTTCGTAACCAGGTCCTCGGTCTCACCTCTCAGTTGGGTCATGTCTTGACCTTGCTTCTCATAGGTGAACCGTGCCTTACTGAAGTAGATGGCGGCCTTGTTAAGAGTACTGAGGCCGCACTCATGAAGATCCATCAGTTCTTCATTGCCGAAAAAGTCCTGAGGAACCTTCAACCCCAACGAACACCAAATTGAAGAGACTGTCTAGCTGAACAACATCTTGGACTCCGTACGGGGGCTGAGCCCAGAGAATTCAATCAACCCCATGGAGAGGTTGTGGAGCTCTGGTGGTGGAAGAACACGATCCTCCTTTTCCTTTCCCTTATCCTCCCCCTTCAAACCTAGAGGGGACGGTCTGCTTTTTAGGAGGGACGGTCGCGTCATCATCAGACCCATCCAGCAAAACTATGGCTTTGGAAGCCAACTCCTCACGACGAGGTTTCTTGGAAAGACGATCGTCTTCAACATGATCACTGGCTCGCGAACGCGACACACGCTGATCTGCCCAAACAGTGGATTCCCCTTTCTCCTTACTCTGACGGTTGGGGACCGGGGGGATATCATTGGAATGACCCATGGCAGGAAGGTTGGTATAAACTCCTGCGAAAAAGGAAGAATAACGGTTAGCATCGGAAGATGTAAACAACCATATATCCCAAGACTATGACCGGACGTACCTAAACCGGCCTGGGACATGAGAGGTTTAACCAACAACAGCCAAAGGTTTTGGACACCAAGGCTGGCGATACAATCAGCATACCCCAATTCTTCAACCGACATGGTCGGGGGGGCAAACTCTACCGAATAAGGGTTCCACCGATCAGAGAAGGGAATCGGGGAACCCACCTCAACAAAGAAGAATCTCTCCTCTCAGCCGGACGGGTTGGATCCATTGTTGGAGAAGAGTGCTTTCGAAAGGCGTGCGGTTTGGCATAAGTAGCATGTGGCCCCGACCGGATGAACCCAGAAGAAATGGTGGAATAGGTCTACAGAAGGGACCACCGCTACACTATGGCAACGCACTATGAAACCCGTAATTACCCTATAGGAGGCGGGCACGAGCTGAGCCGGAGTAATCCGGAGATCCCTGAATAACTCTACATGGAAGCGATGCAGATGGAATACTAGACCGGCTACGACCGAATCTAGATGTACAATCACATGGCCATGCAAATGGCGCATGGGATGACAGACATGACGAGCGTCGTATCCCCGTGGGGGAGGGAACAATTGACCTACCATGAGCTTATGGCAAGGGAGTAGACGTTAGCGCCGGCGCCGAATACAGGAGAAATTAAGGGAATAACGGGGAGGCCGTGGAGGCATTTCCCGCTCATAAAATTTCAGGTCATCCCCGGAAAGGCATCCATCATCCATGTGATTAACGGATGTGGACGTCGGACTGACCCGGACGCTTTCAGGTTTCAGAGAACTCGAGGATGCTAACTAACTGGACATGACAATGAACGGAGGCTAGAATAGGGAACTTACTGAGAATCAAGGAAGTCTAGAGAGAGAAAGCAAATAGATAGAATAACGACCAAAGAAGAAAGAATGACAGTCCTTTTGAAAAAATGGAGTACTTATAAGCAACGCCATCTAGGCCTACCCAACCAGAGAGGAACATGTGGCAACCCATGAGCAGTGGAACCCGCGGTAGGCATGTCGTTTCGATATCCGTTCCAGCTAAGTGCACGCAATTGGGACGCCACCTTATAAAAGGAAGACGTACGTCTTCAAGGGCCATAGCGGTAGCCTTCAAAAAGATATTGCCATAACCTTGGGTGACGGATGTTGCAGAATCCACAGACGGGCGTGACCGTATGGATATTACCGTATCAGACACGTGCTGCTCTCAGAACTACATCGGGCCCAAGGGAACGAAAAAGAAAGGGGGAAAGGATGCCTGGACAGCACGAACATATTCAGTTACTTTACAAAAAATGACACTTCCCT